GTGAAAACCAGATTCGTAAAAAGCAAACCGGGTTTCGTCGAGGTCGGGGCTGCATCGACCACATATTCACCTTTCGTCAATTGTTGGAGCATCGTTTTGTTTATTGGCGACCCACCGTTGTCGTGTTTCTTGACATAAAAGATGCCTTCGAATCAGTCGATCGACGTGCCCTTTTGGACTGTCTGCTGAGGAAAGGTGTGCCTGATAAATATAAATATGTAAACATTATCAAAGCGCTGTACGCGCATAGTTGGGGCAGAGTGAGGGTTTATGGCAAACTGTCGGCACCCTTCAGTATCACCAGCGGTGTGAGACAAGGTTGTCCGCTGTAACCTTTCCTCTTCAACTTCGCTATTGATGAAGTCATGGAAATAGCGTTCGATGGACACGACCCAGGTGTGCAGCTACTTCCTGGTGAGCGACTTCTTGACTTGGAGTATGCGGACGATATTCTCCTAATCTGTGACAGTTCCCAAACATGCCAAGCAGCACTGGACGGATTAGCACTGGCTGTCAATCGTTTTGGGCTATGCTTTGCGCCATCGAAATAAAAGTACTTCTCCAAGATTGGCCACGACCTACCCCTGAGCTAACGCATGGTGGTGATCAGCTAGAAGTCGTTCAGGAATTCAAGTACCTGGGTAGTTATATTAGCGTTCGAGGGATCGAAGATGAGGTTACGAACCCTATAGAAAAAGCTCGAGGTGCTTTTGCAAATCTCTGCCACCTGTGGCGCAGACGCGACATAACTCTCGCCCTGATGGGCAGAGTTTATAACGCAGCCGTCCGTTCAACTCCCCTATATGTTTGTGAAACCTGGCCCATCAGGTCGACAGACATAAAGAGGCTCGTTACATTCGATCATCGCTGCTTTCGCAGCTTAACTCATGGCTGGCAGGAGCACCGCATGAGCAATGAGCGTGTTCGGCGTCGCGGATTTGGTGCAGGAAGAGCGAGGGAACTGCTCAGCACCATAATATCACACACCAGGTTCCGATGGTTGGGCCACGTGTTGCGCATGCCAGCACACGGACTCCCGAGACGTGCAATGTGTTCCTCAACCTAAAGAGTGCATTCGACTCAGTCGACCGATGCATTCTATACAAAAGAGTTGAGCGGAAAGGTGTTCCAACGAAATATGCGAACATTTTACGCGCCCTTTACCCGCACACGACGGGCCGCCTCAGGATCTATGGTGATTTGTTGGATGCCTTTCCGACAATAAGTGGTGTTCGTCAGGACTTCGAATTTCCCAATGTTTGTTCAACTTCGTTGTGGACTCCAGCATGGAATGTTCCCTTGCGGAGCCTCACGATGAAGGCGTTGAGGTGCTGCCTGGTGAAAAGCTAGTTGAGCTTGATCATGCGGACGATACTATCCTGCTTTTTAACAAAGCTTGGGTGGCACAATCAACCCTGAATAACCTCTTTGGAGTGATCCCATCATTTGGCCTGCGTTTTGTACCTTCAAAGTGCAGTGTTGTTACAGGACCAGCAGCCAGTTGATGACCCCTTGAAACTTGATGGGGAGGAACTCAAGTTGGTTGATCACCTCACTTGACTTGGCAGCTGCATCAGCAACGATGGAGGCATAGCAACTGAATTCAGTTCAGGCACTGCAAAAGCTAGAATTGTTTTTGAATCTGTGGCATCTTTGGCGACAGAAATGAGTTTTCTTTCATCTCAAATTCCGTGTACACAAAGCCACAATGAGGTACGTCCCACTCTAAGAGAGTGAGACTTAACCCCTACGATCTGAAGGCCGGCGACACCTTCAAGTCTTTGATCATCGTTGTCTACGAAGCATTGCTCGTGTCGGATGGCACCAGCGTGTCCGCAAAGATGATGTGTGCAGGCGAGCACTAGGCAGCAATAACCAAGCTAGTTCCTTAGAACAACAGGTAGCACTAAATAAGTTGCGTTGGCTTGGGCACGTGCTACTTATGCCTGATCACCGTTTACCTAGGAAAGTCTTGTTTTGTTTACGATGTAAGATGGCGCAAGGCTCAAAGTAGGCAAAAATTACCTTGGAAGCTGGAAATGAAATCAATGACGACCCAACTCGGTGATGTCGGTCCGTCTCGCCTTCCGGGCTGGAGTCCACGTGACTCGCCTTGTGCTTGGCTTGAGACGTTACAGGATATGGCTTGCAGTCGACACCATTGGTTTGTCTGCCGTCGTCTCCTAGTCGGATTGCCTGCTTAAATATGTTTGAATCTGTGTTATCTGCGGGGTAATGGCTGATTATGACGCGGCGCAGTGAAAGCCGCAAGGAAGCTGTCTGGCCGATGCCGCCTTATCTTTGCACGATAGCCAGCTGTTTGTGATGGTATGTTGTTGACAATTTGTAGGTGCCTTAACTCCGAGTGTTTGTTAAAGACATTAAGGTTTTACCGTAGGTCCCCCTGCTCTCCTTCTTATTGCTCTTTGTTTCGTAGGTCACCATGATGTTACGGCAGCGAAGCATCAGTTCAAGTGGCTGGCCTACTGTTGTGGGGGCTCGAACCCGCAACTCGATTGTTGCCAGTCTGTGGTTGAGGCCAATGAGGCATCACAGGCTGGCAACAAGCAATCTGCGATTTCGAGCCCCGCAAGGGTTGAAACAGTGGTCCTCAAGCTTTTCGAGAGTGTTACCCACAAAGCAGGCTCATTATAAATAATTATCCACCAAAAAGTCTTAGTTTAAAAATCGAATCACCTATAAAGCACTGAAAATGAATAGAATTTAAATTACTTTTTATCTTTCAAAGAAAGAAAGCAGTTATTTTTGAGCAATTGTCGATTAAATCAGAAGTGATTTCCGTTAATGAGACTGTTGGTATTGCATAGTATCAACAATTGCTGGTATATTTTGTGGGGTTTCGGCTAATGAACATCGTAAGTCGTGTTCCAAGTTCATTCGGTTCCTTGCTTTGGTGTCAGTAGCTCATCACTTGTTCTACACCTCCCAACTCCGTCTTGAATGAGAGGTTCCCACCACCACTCTTTATCGATAGGCTTAGAACACTCATCGACTATATTGTCCCTTCTACCTTGTAAACATTCGATCGCTACTTTACCTGGTCGGCTGACCTGTGCTCCCACCCTAGTGTTCACACAACTCTGAAATTCAATTTGGCGAACGACTGCCTGATTCGAAAGAAAAACCATCGACGAGCGACTCGATAGCGGCGTCATCAAGATACGCTGCTTTGTAGGTTTGTATACGTAATTTAGGTTAGGAAATTTATTACGGCGAATGGTCCAAGTCACAGATTAATCATCAACTGTTAGTCACTGAGACCTAAACAATATTCATTAGGCCGTTAGTCACAGGTTTTGATACATATGATGTCAATGATTTTATTTAGCGACACCTCGATGACCCAATCATCGTACTTATATTGCATTGCACTAATTTAGAAGTAAATACACCTAGGTTGTGAATTACTGGGTTAGATAGAATGCGCACTGCTGAGGATGCTTGAAGGGATCTAATAGCCGTAATGTGCTATTTCGAGCGTGTGATTGCTGTCCGTGCATATAGATGCGATGAAATTCAATCTGGTACATTCAGCTCTTCCTACTACTCCCTTGTAACCAGTGCGCAGAGCAACCTGCTTAAAATGCCATAGGTTAATTCTTTTGGTAAGTTCGTCGCTTGGTGGGGGGCTACCATCTCCTCTGCGTGGAAGCAAAGTGCAACTCGGTAGATAGTGAACGGCGCTATATCACATCCCTAACCTTAGCTAAGTAGGTCATATCAGTCCCCCGAAACTGTGGCCTCAGCCACAGACTAGTAATAATGGAGTTAAGAATTTGAGCCCTACAGGGGTCAGACAGACTACGCGCTACTGACGATTCCGGAAAAGATTACACAGCCTTACAGTACCTTTCGGGCGCGTGATGGCTAGATGTGATAAATTTCGACCTAAACTGAATTCATATGCTAACGAATGTGATAAAGTTCAGTCGCGGTGTACTGACCTGGAGATTTCCTCCTTTTAACTGTGGATTACAGTGCAAAATACTCGAAAATTATAGTTCTATTAGGTACATTGTTTGCTTGAATGTTACTGACGTCCACACATGAACTCGCCTTTCTGGCATGAATGCGACCTAGTACCCGCGGCCAGCAGCGCAATCGGCACCTGCTCACATCTCCCCTAGCCAGTATTCTTCTGGGTACGTTATATTTAGCTCTGGATAGCTTTTTGACCTTCTAATATGCCTTTTAGTCTAGTTGTTGTGCTATTCGGGTTACCTACGGTAAGCGGTTTACGTGCGTATCCGATATATGGCACAGGACCACCGCCCTATGTCATCGTGGTACTATCTTCGGATGCTCAAAAGGATGCATTTAGAAGCACTTAGTTTTTAGCATAAGTAAATCTGAAATGTGGCAAATATTATAACCAAAAGATAAGCGCGATGGACGATTCGTGCAATGCAAAGTTTCTGTCAGAATGAAGAGCATGTTAGCGATAAAATTATTGCCGTTAAAGTTACGTAATATTCGAAATGCAACGAAAAACGGGTGGATACTAGTTAATTACTCCAATTGCCAACTTTAGACAACAGTCCGAACCCATTGTGGAGTTTGAAAAACCAAAGAACCAACCGCAATAAGTTGACAAGCCGAATCGGTGTCGAGCACATTGATTGTACTGCCTCAGTTGAATATCATGGCCTCAATGTAATTGATTCTAAGAGGTAGATAGCACCATTACAGTGCTTACTGAAGATAGCTATAATGCTATCACAAGTGTGTCAATCAGAGACTAGTATCAAATTCGTTAGCGAGCAATGTTAATGGCACTTATACTGCATGGTTGCATGCAGGCATCGTGAGCCGTTATATTGAAAATCTATATTATAACTCAATACTATCCAACTCAGATCATCCACGAGAGTGTAACATTGTTGAACTCCGTCCACAGTACCAACACTTGAACGCAGGTAAGCTCATGATGAATGACGCGGATCACATGGATTTTGAAATCACTTAACATTCTTTTGCAGAATATGCAGGCTGAAGAAGAAGGCGTTTCATGAAGCAAACAAAATCAAGTACACCGCACTGGGGATGGAGTATGGTGAGTCTAACCATTCGTGCCCCTACAGTTTAAACAAACTCGTAAACGCGCAACTAGTCTGCACAGTGGTCACAATGTACCGTAGTGACGTGGCATTACTGACCGCTACGTGTATATATATATATATATATATATATATATATATATATATATATATATATATATATATATATATATATATATATATATATATATATACATATATATATGTATATATATATATATAATAGGTGTGTGGCATTCAACGAGTAGGCGTAGAGACATAAAAAGTCATGAAAACCAAAAGAATGTATGGAGGAAATCATGGTTTCTTCGAAGGGCACGGTACTACCCGGCTTTCCAAGTGGAAGTGGGGTGTTAGCTTCGGAGATATCGTCCTGAGCCTTTGGCTCAATGGCCTGCCTGCGAGACAGCGGAGTGAATTTAGAGAATCACGCCCATTGAGAGTCAGTGACTACTCAGTTCATGCGCCTTTCGCGTGATTGGTTACTAAACGGGTCCAATTTACCCCACAATTACAGCATCACTTTACTGGAATACATTGCTCCACGAGAATGAAGCAAGGGGCAGTGACTTCATTTTGTGGTGAATGAGGTCCGCCACGTCCGAGTGTTATCAAACGGGCATATGTGGCTATTATGGGGAGAAGGCTTAACAGGCGAAAACTTACCACGACCAGGAACATTGCGGTTGTATCATTTGGTAAAATTGGATAAGCGCGAACCATCCAGCTGGCACCAGGTGGAGGTTGGTAGACAAGTCAGCCAACAGCCTAGATCACATACTATCGTTTGGAATTCAAATTTATTAAATTCCTAAACGAAGGAATATCCTCCGGCACATAGCCAATCGATAGAATGGGTATATTTCCAGAGTGCTGGAATACCTTCCCGTTTGGGGAGCGGTTATTTGTAATGCACTGCATATCGCAAATAAGGGAAAATTAGTTAGATGTTCAGTTTAGTAAATATGTCAGTAATTTTGGTGGTTGGGTATTCAATATGTTTTTTGAATGTGACCCAAATTTATGTACAACGAGAATCATTAGCAATCCAGTGAAGAATTTTGGAACTAATATGTTTCTAAAGTGCATAGATTTTTTAGAAGGTGCAGCAAAGAACAAATTAGAGAGCAAGTTGAGTCACTACTCGTGGACTGGTGACAGCCCAAGTTTCGATCATGTTTGTGGGAAAAGTTAAATTTGTAGATGTGTTCTAAATGCGGAAAGTCCTTACTTGTTCATAGTTGTAATGGATGCTATTTACATAGATAGGCATCTCCTATTAGTAAAAAGTGCAAGCAGATATGTTACTTGGTCTTCTATGAGAATACCAATTACTTCCGATTAAAGTCTAAGCCAGTCTGCAGTTGGACAGATCTACTGATTGTAAAGACACGCAAATATATGATACTGCAGAGAAATTCAAGATAGTTCTTTAGTCATCGCAATCAGAGTGGATCACATTGCAGGTGGATACACCGTTCCTAGTATTTAAGTCTTGAAGAACATCCCAGGATCATTGTGGTGAATAAGCGGTAGTCGTATTCCGGAATAGTTCTATCCGCTTCGATGCAGTGTAAGTCGCAACATGAGCTTGGATGATTCTAGGCATGTTATGTGTGCAGCGAAAATGATCTAACCATGATGTTTAAAAGGTTGTTGCAAATTATGTTGGGAAAAGGTGAAAAAAGCAGAATAGTGAATTCCGAAGTCTAAGACGTAGTATGAGATTGGGAAGGAAGCATCAGCAGGAGTGATGGAAGTCAATGGTAGAAACTTGTCTACTGAGAAATTTGTTGGCCTACTCACACTCCATGTGATCCGTGAAGATAGATCCTTAGGTATATTCACGTACGACTCTAGGGGATCAAGCGGGAAGGAGTACAGTCTTTTTATGTCGTCCGCAAATAAAAATGGGGTCATGTAATTTATGTTTTGATATACAGTTATTATGTGAAATGAGAACGACATCACCTGTAACGTTTCTGGGAGCACAACACTGTTGATGCAGATGTAATCCTAGTGTTTGGTCGTTCACTTATGGGTTGAACCAACACAAAAAAGGATTATTGATTTCACAGGATTCAAGTGCATGACCAACAACGGTTTGTGCAGCACAGAGTTGAACGCCTCTTGCATATCCAGAAGGTTGGTGACGATGTACGTTTTGCCGTCGCCCAATATTACCGTAAAAAGATAAATGCGAAAATCTTAATTGGTTCCAGTGATACATCACTTGTCAAAACTTCGTTTCAGAAGGAAATACGTAGACCTAAAATCAACCATTCACTGAGATAACTGATATTCTCACCGCTACTACTACCTTCGGAGAAAGATTGAGTTACCATAGTTTGGCACCAAGTTCATAGGCTTGGTCTTAAGAATTCACCATCCTTCTCTCGGTTTATTTAACCAAGGATTCTATCGTATCGTGTCAATTTAAACGTTTTAGATCCGAGACACCACTCCAACCGGCGTTCTGTGTGCGTGCAACGAATGTGATTGCTTGTGCGCATACGGAAGGTTTGATCGATTTCGCCTTACTGGCTGCATATCCAGACAACTACCTCAAATTTTCATATTTTCCACCAGTTGCTGTGCCAGTTCCAAAATAGAACAGTATGTTACATCTATTCAACCGGCAGTTCTATTCAAGTCCATGACGGTGTTAATGCACATTTCTAATGATAATTTTGTAAGGTGACGGGATCCAATCCGTCCCACGTCCATCAGCGACTGGTAGCCTGTAATCTAAGCAACACTGATGAATGTCATAGGTGGCAATGAAAACGACTTAAGAGGGCACTCAACTCCAAATGTGGTGTTGGATAAAGTAGTTAGTTAAGACAAAGATCTTTTCACTGCTTGACAAGCAAGTGGTGAAGAAGATAGCCTACAAGCACTTAACCAGAATCCCAAAGATGGCTTATTGCAAAATGAACCGGGCTTCGAATTTACTAGCTGGGTGAGTGCTTACTTGACAAGTCACCGAAGAAAACTGGATGTTTTTGGACTGAGTACTTTGCAATGACTAGAGCAACATCGCAAAGTAAGGCACCGATTAAAAAGCAAAAACGGACTGAGTCCGTTGAATTTCGAATGTGTTGGTTGATCTGAAACACTACCAAGTGGTGTACCATCCGTAGGCATATGTATTGTAATTTCGTCCCCCAGAAATGAAGGAAGCATGTGGCCGTGCCGTTGTTTGTGCTGAGTTTACCGAGGTAGAGGGAAGGAAGTCGCTTGTTTACTAAGAGTTACGAATCTGATGGATAGAAATAGTTGGAAGTTAACTGATGCCAGTTTGTAGGGTGTGAACCTTAGAGCATACTGATTGAAGTACTGGAGGCTAGCTGAAAATTTTCAGCCAAGGCTGGTCTTCGACCAGTTTCGTATGAGTGGTTAGAGCGGGAAAATCCAAGTCACATCGCGATCCGATCAGTGATTTGGAAACCCGGTCTTGCATGGTCAAGCCCATGTGTACACCATTGAATCATGATATTAAAAATATAAGAAAATCACATATCCGCAAGTAATATGCAAAACGTTCGACGCGCATTAGTGGCCAAGTTAAGTAAGTACCTCATAACCATCGCAACCAGACAGCAAGAAGACTGGTGATAGTATAGGAGATGAGTAAATCAGAGCCGTTGCCCCCCACAAACCAGTTGAGTGAAAAGTAAGTGGACTGGACATTGCATTTCTCGTGGAACATCCTGATCGAGTCAATGAAATATGTGAGGATGACCGCACCTTGCAGAAGTTTTTGTAAGCGAAGCAGTACTTGTGACATATTGGATAGTGAGAGTAAGCTACTTGGAACAATTGAGGTTAGAGCACCATATCCCCAACATGCCCATATGGACGAAGACCAAATTTGTCCAAATGATGATAAACAGGTGTCAAAGCAGTGACTTTGGAAAGGATATGTCACAATGATAGTCTTAAGGCGCAAGGCCGTGTGACGATTTGAATAGTGCATTGTGTTTATTAGCAAAATTATAGATGTCTAACGCGAGAATGATTCTGATTTAGAAAGTGTGAAAACCAATTACTGTTTATGACCATTCTGTGAAGTAAACAATGAGGCAGAGAGAAAAGCCCCCATGAGTTGGTTAGTGTTTCAGGGGAGTGGAAGTTAGGTATCATTTTGTTGTTGGGCCGCATATTTCCTTTTCACTTTGAGATAACCCTTTTTGATTGGTCAGAATTTCACATTCGCCATTACACCGCTCCTCTCAAGGTAATTCTGTACTTAGTAGTGGACTAATGGTTAAAACCGGGTAAAAATAAATGCTTGCCAAGTCCCGTAGGGTCGTTAGAGTGATGATTACAAGATAGCAACAGAATGTCTATAAAATAGGGTGCGATTATTGGACCCACTAGAAGATCTGTGGTAAAAGTGTAAGCCTCAAAGAGGAAATGTAGGTGAGAAGCACTAACTCAAATGTAAAACGACGGAATGAAGGACTGCATACTGTAACACGGGTATCACATTGAATTAGGAATATACGTGTATGAAGTTGGCACCCGGTCACACAAATGCAAATGAGCAGTTATACCAGGGAATGAAGTAAAGAGCCGCGCAGAAAAAGGATAGCATTAAAGAATATGTACTACAGTCTCTAGTGGTCAAAAGTTGTTCTCTTCAGCATCAAAAAAATTAAAGCGACTATAAGAACGCAAAATACTATTAGCTACTAGAACACATAAGGGGCTTTGTGTACCGTAGTAATGGGGTCCGGGTGATGGTAATTCAAAGAGACTTGTTCGTTAAAGTGAAGCTTCTTTCAGGAGTGACGATAATGGCAAACATCTGAATGGCGTGGAAGAAATTTTTATCGACTATCACTGTGTTTCCTCATTTAAGATGAACTTATCATTGTGATTACTCAACTCAAGCGGCTGATCCGAGAACACTTGCGACAGAAGGCTTCCGACAATCCAAGTACTCCATCTTGCAGTGGCTATCCGGTGAGTAAAGGTATATTAGTCAATGGATACCAACCCAGAGTGTCTGAAGTATATCCCAAGGAAACAATGAATGATTATCAATGTCAATTCACTGCACCCATGAGTGTTGCCGCTGGTCCAACGGAGTGTGCTCGGTCCTCTCTACTTAACACGGCGATCCAAATCTGGGAAAAAACAAACGGTAAGTTGTGTCACAGATAAACTGTTACACGGAGTTCTTCTTCTTAGACGAATCTTAGTTATTTGATCAGGTTCAATGTAATCTGCCACAGTGTCACCCTCCTCGGCGAGTAACTGAAACTTTGTAGCATAAACTATCTATACTATTGTAAGCTGAAATGGACACTGAATACGTAAAGTATAGATTATTCTGAGAGTGGATTCGCATTTCGGACATCATGAGGAGATAACAATGCAGGAACTCGTACAAAAAACGAGGTCCATGACTAAATAGCGATGTAAAGACAGGAGCTTTCGGAAGAATCGAGTCTTTAGAATTTGGCAGTATGACTATGTAGCATATATCGCTTTTTCAGTAAGAAATGAGCAAACAAACTTCGATATACATGTTGTTACACAGGAGTGTTAAAGTTAAATCCAATCTACAAGAATGCACTCCGTTTTCAAGCTCGACCAGAGCAGAGATGCTGAACCGAAATCGAAAAATCCGGTAAACCAAATGAGCGTGAAGTATCGACAAAGCAGGCGAAATAGTGGCCTTTGGAGCATCGCGAAATAAAGCGATAAGCGCAGTGCGTTACATTCCATCATACAATTACCAAGGCTTACACTCCATGACGCCTGTTCCCTGTAGTAAATTCCGGATGAGGACACGAAGTAACTGACCAACTGGTACATTAGTGATAAGATTCAGAAATTACAAGTCGGTTTACCCAGAGACGTTTGACGGACTTATGTGATACGCCTCGTCGGGACATGACAAGTTTGCCTCTAGGTAAATAGGTCCACTGCACACACAAGTTTTGCGGAAAGTAGCGCGACGGTGGGTTCTAACAGAGTATGTAACAGAGGCTGGTCTTGGAGAGCTGCGAAACCGATCTCTCACAACACTAGACTCCACAACTGACCGCTTTTGTCCTGATTTGAAGAGTAATGTTGATGAGAAGGACTGACTGACTGGCTCGACTCCAACTCTTGACTAAGACTTCGGAAATCAGATATGAGCAGATGGTTGACAACTACAGATGGTTGATCTAACTAGAGGACAAAGATTTCCAGGGAAATTTTGAGCCGCCTGACAGCTGTTACTTTCCAGGCTAACTGAAGTAACAGTACATAACCGAGGTCACACGCGTCCATCATCAACGCCGCCGGGCACACAGCGGAGCAGTTGAAATGTCGCGTCCATTCGTCGGATGAATACACGTTCACCACTCATCGATTTACTAGGCAACATCGTTCATCCAAACGCAAACTGTCCACATTGCAAATCGCTACACCAGTTTGCGACCAAAAGCTGAAAGTATGCGGAGCTCAATGAGCTATGTGTCGGTCTCCACGCCCAGCTCAGACTTTCTTTACCTGAAGAGCCCAAACGAAGACGAAGCCGTCGGTGGAGTTCAGTGATGCAGGAGAACAAAACTGGAAGTAATCTACTCCGATACGGTCCCAGGTTTGAACGGTCGAAGCTGACCTCAGAGTCAACCGTGGCCTGAATTCGGACTGCGTATCAACATCCGGACACAAGGTGGGTACTTCAAAACCCAGCACTTAGTAACGTTTCATTAACCTTCAAACGCTTTGAGGTGCCTTCCCATGAGTCGCATAACTTTGGATAGAAAACAGAGCTGGAGTTATCTAAATATACCCTCTAAATTTTCAGCAATATTTCGTGACAACCAAAGCTGAAAATTTAGCATGGTGTTAACGGACTAAACTGCCCGGCCAAACAATTAAGGGTCTAGAGAACAACTTAGCGCGGTGATCCACACGTTTTGACACATACTGTGCGATCTAGAAGTGTTGGACGCCGGCTTAGTAATGGACCGACACTATCGTTCCCCAACACTACTGGCTCGGGAGGTGGAGCAACAGAGCGGTTAGTTGCCCAGTTAATCCTATCTGTATTGATAACAAGAACAGTGGTTTCTAAGTGCATTGTTAGACTATGGATTACAAAATGCCATCATGGATTAGAAGAAAGTAAACTTGAAATCTCTAAGCAGAGGTAACCGCAGCTGGGAATTAAACATTAGAGGTGACGTCCTGATCATCAGACTAAGCTCTTAAGCAAGGTCTATATGGCTCTTCAAAGACCCGATCATCTGTGGAGACAGGGATGTATCGGTGTATCATTCTACTGATCTATGGTGATACACTGTGATCAGTGATGTGGCATGAAATATAATCATGGCTGTGACGGACCAGAAACAGCTAGCTAGTTCTTGGATGTTGGAGATGCATTGCTCATGAACAAGTAACGCCAAGGGGTGCGTGTTGGCATTACCCAACGAAGATGATATTGGAACGGATCAATGCAATACACTCAACCTGTGATGACTGAATTAGATCATTCAGACGCTTTCCGACCAGTGGTTTTAGCTGCCGAAGATATGGGGAAATGTGACGTTTCGTGAGGTCTCAACATGATTGGTAACGCTACAACCGAATTGTATGAACAAGTTGTAGGAAACCTGAGGTACACTGCCATAGGGTTGGCTTTTGGGCGTGATGCAAACAAACGGCAAAATTTGTGGTCAGATGGTACATTTAGCAGCATAGTAGATGCCTATGGTATACTGTACCCCTAGTAGATAAACTTCCAAGGTAAACACACATCAGACCACAGCACTTCCAGGACTGGGTGACACAATGGATGAACAGAGCCAGATCCAGGACATATGAGAAACACAGGTTAAACACACTTGCGAACGCCCATAGGTTTCATTTCTATTAGCGTTATAACCGTTCGACGTTCACACGAAAACCACATGAATCTATTGTCGCGTGTAGGTCTGTTGGAAGTGTTTGTCTAAGTGTAATGGTGAACCTCTGTACACCATTAGCAAACAGTGTTTAAGAAAAACAATTCATGGCCATGAATCTAAAGATACCAGTAGCATAATACAAATTCATCGATCACACGTTTCCAACTTTTGTGACTGCCGACCGGTGGAACCTTATTGGCAAAGATACTTTTGAATGTACCTAAACTGAGCAACTTGATTGGTTCAACTATTAAGTTGGAGATTGAAAAGAACTATCTACAGGCTCAGACACTAATAGGAGTTTGAAATCATCATCTTATCCACGTCCTCAGGTCATAAACACTGGATTTTACACCACCCATTTCAGTCACCCGCGCCGCGGGCAGGACAGATGCGCTCGTCGAGGAGGTGCTTCGATTATCTCGGTTGGGGATGACACATCACCCGCTAGTTCGAGGAATGACGGTTGATTTATTCAATCGGTTCGAAATGACGTCAGAGGCAGCGAGCTCGACGCAACCTATGGAAGCAGATTTAAAAATGAAGACAGAAGGCAGATGTTCAACATTCGTGGCACAGAGTCCGAATTACCAGAAGCAATATGAATTCCTACAACCCCCGAAATTCATTATTCCTTATCAACATAATTATCACGAAGAGCAAGTCAAGCATATGTTCTGAACCGCAGTTGGACGCACAAGCTATTCCTTCGTTGATTCAGTCGCGATGGTCTGTGTACAACGAAAGTCACATGAACAGATAAATCATTCCTCAAACCTGTGAATCTACCGAAAGATTTCCATTTTATAATCGCTTTGGTAAATCAACTCGGGTTGCTTCTAAAAAAAAGTCAAAGTAATTCATCGTTAAATGTTGGAGATCCCAATGTTTTCGGTAGGCTACGTGAACTCGTCATCGAAGGAACTTTTGCACCCACATCGCAAAGAAGTACGTGGGAATGCGAAGGTGTCCTGGATGTCAGCGCATTCATAACCGCCCATTAACCTCATACAATACAGCTGTATTCACAACCAAGAATAGGCACAGCGCAATTTCGATAACATGCAGTATTTTATAGAATTATAGGGGATGGAACTAGTTTGGTAGAAACACCAGGATATGGATCAAACTACAAAAAAGTATGCCAAGTGAAATGACCCCGACCTAATCAGCCAATAGTTCAACAGCGACGCGTCATTTATCAGAGCTAAAGGTATTCAGAAGTAGAAGCAGACGGACCACGATGTGTCTAGCCACTGCGTCATTAGTTAAAAACTATCCAAGTCATAGATGGCTGAACGGCGATTGGCCAAGCCTTTCCATTTTCGATCGTGTAAAGCACAAGGAGAGGTCAGGGTGAATACCATGCATGCTGAGGAGCTGACGTGCGTGTTAATACAGGGTTGAAAGTAGATTTGGCTTGAAGACAGAAGACCAAATTTTCCACCTATTTTCGAATGCCTGCAAATAACGAATGAAAATGATATCCATACAAACCAGTCGGTGCTCAGGTCGCACTAGCGTCATGAGAAAGCGACGCCCAATAGACCGACTAAGCAATTCAAACCACTTGTGATCTGATGTCCAACATATGTGGCTTCGATTTCGTTTTCGCGCGATGTTTGACTGAGGTGACTCCACAGCTACACATTCCCTTGCAGTCTTATATGACGAGACTCACTCGTGTCACCCTGTGTTTCTCCTTCTAACCTTGGTGACTAGCTGTCTGGCAATTGCTCGCCAGGTCAGCTGTGTGACACGCGCATGAAGGCAACGCTGGGCATATATCCGTTAACTTGTAATTCAGTCAGCTGGTTTTGAACAGGTAGAGTTAAATGACGACAGCTTAGCTGTTATGCGGAATGTGATTAGACACTATTCTATATGCTCGAAACATAGATAAAACGTCACTAATGCTATGAAAATAATACAGCTAGTTAATAATATCATCAAGTTTCATCGCGGACTGTGGTAGGTGAAAAGAAAATGCCTGCAAAATACACTGTCAAATTCTAAAAATAGGAAATTTTGCATTTTCCGTGATCATTAACTCCCACCAATTTCAATGCTCAACTCAGAAACGTCTCTGAAACCACCGACATCGTTTTATGGAAATAGGCTTGATCTCTAATGACCTAGGAGGATTTCCAGCAAGCGCAAACCGAACGAGGCATGAAGTTGGTGCAGTAGGCGGCGTAACTTGAGTCTTACATATGGAGCCACAGCCGTGGACAATTTCGTGTAAGTGATTGTCACCCCGTCGGTGTCCCCACTAAGCACTACTCAAGTTATGAAGGTGGGGTTGTCGCACAAATGAGTGACACAGTAGAACAGTTACAGAGGAAGAAGAATGTAACTTGTGACGCATAAAAGAGAGGCCCCGGTCCAAATCACCCAGCATATATGATGTCAAGTAACATTTCATAAACTAAAAACAAGTTGCTCAGCCACTTTCAATGAGTCTCCGTCGAGCACAAGAGTAGGTACACAATAGTGTGTGGGGGGACATAACCTGCGGTAGCAAACACATGGATTGGTGTTATAAGAATGGAGTAAATGTAATAATGTAATGTAATCTCAACAGTCTAGCAACTAGACATTGAGCCAGCAAAGCCATGGAGATCAGTGGATAGAAGACAGTCATTGCGTTATAATCATAGTGGCATGGTAGTTAAAGGTGGGCAACACACTTCAGCTAATATGCCGCAGGAAGAATGGAACATTTTGACAAAAAATAGAACAAAACATTTTTAGTTTGTTTATCACACGCCGATTTTTTCTTTTTTTGTCATTTGCAATGTTGGTAGTGTTAAACATGTGAATCGATACAATACTGTACACAATTCTTCCACTGATTCCGGTTGCGGGCCATGTCTTCAAGAGTCCTAAGCCATTGGCACTCCTCATCTTTGGGTCCCCTTCCTGGAAGACGTACGGATCCAACAACGGCTAGACACGACGTCAACGATCTCATGCGCTGCCGCCAAGTGGAAGGCTGACCTCCACGCGGTCGCTTCCAGCCAGGTCCTTGACGAGCGAATAGAGCGCGACGCGGTAGACGCTCAGGCGCCATGCGTAGGACATGACCGAGCCATCTTAACTGGCGCAGCAAAACCAGTTTGTTGAAGGAAATACTTGCATTCCCCAAGATGCGACGTCGAACATCATTACTATTAACTCGATATTGCCACCAAACACGAGCAATCCTCCTTAAGCAACCGTTTTCGAAGGCAGAAAGACGACGCATGTCTTCCACGCGAATCGGCCAGGACTCGCACCCATACAACAATACTGAGCGAACTGATGCACTGTAAACTCGGCCCTTTAGTGAGAATGAGACGTCGCGACGTCGTCACAAGTGCCTCAGTTTGACAAATGCCGATCAAGCTTCAGTGATACGAAGAGAAACTTCTTTGTTGATAGTGCCGTCAACAGAAACACAGCTCCCAAGGGAGACGAAACTATCTACCTGTTCAAGTTGTGCACCTTCGAGAGTGAGCACGGGAGCAGGTGAAAGCCAATCCTTGAGCAGTACATTACACTTCGATGGGGCGAAGCTCATGCCATACTTAGATGTTTCAACCGCCAAACGATCCATAATGAGTTGCATACTCTGAGGATCGTCACCAAGTAAGGCGATATCACCAGCATAATCTAAGTCGGTCGCGCGCTCACCCGGTAGAAGCTCTAGGCCAAAATGTTTTTGGAAACCTTCTAGAGCATTCGACAGAACGTCTTCGATTGCGAAGTTGAAGAGGAATGGGGACATAGGGCAGCCCTGTCGCACACCGCTATTGACAGCGAATTGCGAGGAAAGCTTGCCATAGACCCTCACTCTGCCGGATGTATGAAGGTAAAGTGCTCGTAAGATGGCGGTATATTTCTCTGGCACCCCTTTCTTTAGTAAGCAACGCCATAAAGCAGATCGATCAACGGAGTCAAAAGCGGCAGAATGGAGTGAAAAGAGGGCAGCATAGTGCAGTTACGCTAAGTGGTGTACTGTACCGGCGATAGCTAAGCTTTCAAACATAAAATAGGCGTGGAACTAGATACCAATATCTAAGCTGAAAATGGCTTGGCACAGTTCCCGGTATCCGAGGAAGTCGCACAATGTGCATATGGTATCTGCGGACCTACGGGGAATGCAGTTTTAAGAAGTTGAAGACTAGCCCAATTCAAACCTCAAGATGTGTACTGAAATCCACATCAAGGACAACGACATCTGATCTGCGAACAATACCCAAGGGCCGATGAAGTTTGCGAGAATCCATCCTACCAGAATCATGGCTGCAATCCGTAGGAACGTACGCGGAGATTATACGCAAAGTGCGTCCTCCCTCGCAATGCTCGTCGGCATCGCATAGGTCCTGGAGTTCAACTGCATGCGGTCAGCTGTTGATCGGTTTTGGTAATTTATGCTAAACTGACGCCAGAAAAATCAGATGAGACGAATTCCGTGTACCCATAAAGACGCAGGTAATATACGATTTCGTGTTCGGTGGGGGATTTCGACGTGAGCACTGTACGGGAGTCGGACAAGTCAGCAAAGATTAGTAGCGAGGGTCGTCAAGATACACATTAGACCGATCTTTTGCAAAATCGCCGTGCATGCCAATACGATGTAGTATACCGGACGAAACGAAGAAAGATGGGTGCCACTAGCCGAACTCTAAGACATCAGACCAAACCGATATCGGAGACAGATATACGAAGATAGGAATCAAGAAAGAGATAACCAGACGTATTAAGAAATGTCAGCTGTACGCCGTAACGGCGCTTCGCTGCCACCAATCGCTGAGTATACCGCGAGGGCAGCCACCCCTAGGCAGAGTCGAACTGGTGAGCTTATGGTTACAAACCAGGCGCGCAGACTACTCGGCCACCGGCCGACAACGCAGTTAAGACGCATGGATGTGAGAAGCAACAAAGTAGGAGAACAAGCAGTGGTTTCATCAGAAAACGTGATACAACCTCCATCACCAAGGGACTGAGAGTAAACGTAGTGTAATGATTGCGTGTTTCAAGGATCCGATGAGCGGTGCTGGGTAGTGTTTTTGCACATTCGGAGCCACTCGTTTCAGATTGATTAGTGAGCAGATGCCTCCAGGTAAAGGCTGAACTAATGACGACTCGTAATTTATTAAAACGGAATCCTTGTACCCAACTACCGAACTCCCAATACCATTTGGTCAGAATTCTGAAACCAAAGACTCCGGTCGAAAACCCTAATCGTTCTCCTGTCTAGGCCTGCGTAACCGGACAGTAGTATACCAACGCAATACAATGAACAGCCTTACACAACTTGTTGATGTCCTGCCGTCGCAAAGGATAATCAACGGCGCCCTGAACGCCAAACTGAGTAGGATGGATATGATGCTATTGTTCACGCCTTCCAGTCTTCTCACTCCACATTTTACGGTTTATCTTTATCATCCTGTTTCAACTACACTTTTATCCCTCTCTCATCAATCTCACAATTCTAGATCCTTCCCCACCTTGCTTTCATAGACAGTAGTCTTCTAGTTTAAGCTTATGCACAAAGGCAGGGCGTCGCTTAGTCCCCATCGCCCAACTCATCGAGAAGGAAGCGGCTAACGGCAGTTTATCCTTTTCTATTTGGAGCTCTCGCTAAGGCTAACATATTTCAATGTGCGCAATTGTCGCAGATTGGTCAACAGGCAGCACTAGCCAGAATATTAGAGATATTATTGGTCAATATCTGCTGTTTATCGGAAACCCGTCTAAAAAGCCTTAATAATGCAGTCACTCTATGAAAACTTTAACATGTTATATATATATATATATATATATATATATATATCGATGAAATGCACTAGCGGCAAACTCAGGCTTTCTGTGCGACTCTTCATGCGTCTCGGCCACGTCAATGGCTGGCCGCTCAGGTGTTTAACTTAAATGGATGTTTGAAACAAGCATTCATTTTATGATTCCAAACATAGGAATCAGAAGACACAGATTGTGTAATGACACCGTCATTTCGTGAATTCCTGTCAATCACAGAAACATGCAACATTGGAACAGAGACAAATGGTGACCATAGATAGCAAAACGCACGGGATAACACGGTAGGCTTAGAGTCACAGTCAGCTGTTCTTAAATGGACGTGTCGCTGGGAAAACAAAAACGCGCCGAGGCATTCAACTGGTAGAGACGAGGAGAATATAATCTAGCTAACATGGACGGCCCGAGTACAGCAGATAAAAAAATTCAACCGAACGAGATCTGCTGCTTAAGGAGTGCGGACGGTTGCTTACTATGGAAACGAGCACTCAATAGATGCGTTATATCTGACCACAAACATTTCATATCATATGCTAACGCTTTCTTTAAGGTTGCATGGCGAGCCCATATTCGAAGACTTGCCAAGAGCTGCTTCGTCATTTCTTCCTAGCGCACATCCACCTGCGGCTTGCAAGCGACTCGCTTGAATCTGGCTCGCTTATTAACCTTATACTACTGACGCTAGGCGCAGTAGTATGTACTCTTGGCTCAGTACAACACGATGAGCCAAGTTGGTGCTCCCACCAGATATCAGCAATACTTCGAGGGTGTCTGTGACCAAATACATCCAGCCCCTTAATGTCCTCAGTGCGTGGAAGCAATTCCTCTGATTCATAGGGGAACACTAATTTTACTAGTGCCAACAAATAAACCTGCATCTCATAACCTCTACGTGTCTGAGGTTAGTAAAAACCATACAATCAACCCGAATGTGTTCACTAGCCTCTTCCATGAGCTATTCGCCGAAAGTAGTACAACTGCCAACATGTGTAAAGCACTTGAGCGATTAGAAAGTTATATAGGAATTTTGAGAATCGTCGGTGTTGGATCAGATCTGTGACCGCACTACGCACTTTGAATCTGCGAAGCACACACACTAAGGTGTGCAGGACACAGTATCAACGTATTAAAAATCGCCCGCGCAGCTGATGCGAAGAAATTCATGTCATCCTTATACCCTAAGGTTGTTGAACGGTCAAGCACCAATAAAATGGAACGAAGGGATAAGGCAGATCTGATGCAATTCATTTATTGTTGTGACCTCGAGGAACAGTTTCCAGGGTATGTTTACACCGCCCAGAAAAGCCGCTTTGTAGGGATTGTAGAACAGCTATACACTTCATCGGTATGTTGTTCAGAACTAGACGGTGCCACAAACAGGCTCGACCAATTGAACAAAAGGGAACCCGCAAGTCAAGCGAAACGACGCTGAGGATTTTTGTATGAAGACATGCAAGCAACTGGTAAAGCGGGAGAACGTGATTAATGTATTCTCCATCGAAGAGAAGACTAACCTAACTCCATCTGTGAGGTGTAATGGGCCGCCGAAGCATGATACAGGTGAGTAGTTAGGAGGCGACAGAGTCAGGATCTGTGATACGATAATGTTCTCAAAATGTTCATTAGCTCTTATTAAAATTGAAGACAACCGACAGTCAGGGAGCGCTCCGTCCGTGCGGCAAATGGTGTCAGAAAAGTATACAAGACCTCTACCATTAGTGAGTAGTAGGGAAATTTACTATTTTTGAGAAGATTCGTAGCACCCAAACTCATTCAGACAGCTACCACATGAAGGGAAGCGCTAGACAACCATTTCGTCCTTATTGGACTCGTCAGTAACGCGCACCTGCCGGGTTCGAATCCATGAAGGTACACTACCCTACCCCACTACTCAGTGATATTCAATAATCCCCTTAGCAGCTTACATGCCACCTCCATACCTGGCGGCTTGCAAAGAAAGTCATAGCTCTGGGGGCCGGCCCTGTTCTCCGCACGTTTATAACATGCATGACAGCGGAAGACGAGCCTCGTCATATCGCAGCCCGATATCAGCCATGTCAGTCCGCCGATGTCACCAATGGTTTAGTGGCATAATTCGCCGGCTCATTAGAGTAAGGTCATGGGTTCAAATCCGACAGGGTCCGGTGGGTGCACACTACTGACGAGTCACGAAAGGATGAAACGGCCGTTCAGCGATTTCCTAGATGTTAGTGGCTGTCTGACTGAATCTAATTACGATGAACCTTCTAAAACAGATATCCACTAGTCAGTGGCCATCGTTCTTTGACAACGACTGTGAAAGGCGAATTGGGTTAGGTTGACTATCCTGGGTCCGACCTCACTGATTGTTGTAGTTACCTCAACGTCCTAGGTGACCCAAATGACAATCCTAACAAAACGGATCTGTAAGGAACATATAACATTCCTGTTAAGCGTACTAATTCCGGTAGGCGCAATAACTAAAAATTTCGGTAGATAAGAAACCCAAATATTCAGAAAGCACCCCTGAAAAGCACAAAGTGTTTACACAGAAAAACGAGCGGTTTGGGTCCGCGGTTCATTTGCTCCCGATAGGCCTTGAGCCTCATTTTTAGTAATTCAAAACCACAACTGGAGCAAACAAATTAGATGAAGTGGTCAAACGTCAAGCATCACCTAAAGCGACTGGGAACTGATAACATCCGATACGGCATGATCAGTTGGTGAATAAGAAACCAAAAGTAGAGTATTGAAGCGGTGATAGACCGCCATGTGAAAAATATTTGCAGTTTATTCGATAAGGGGCATGAGTATTGCTCGTTGAATGGGTAGAGGGTCCAACGTCTACTTTCGTCGAATGCAGAAAGGAAACCTCAAGATTTCTACATATATTTATATGTGAAAGAGTGAGGGAGAGATTATTTTACAAATTGTTAAAAATTTAGTGGTTAGTTGGGTTAAAAGAAAACGCTGTTTACATGACGGATGGTCCTATGCATTCGATTAGCAAACGAAAAAGTAAGGAAAGCAAAGACACGTATAACGGTAAGGAGGTAAGAGTAATACTCAATGGGAAATAACAGCAACGGTGCACTATTCAGCGACCATGCTCAATATTTGATTCATTTCACCGTAACAGGACCTATTCCAACATATCACCATGAGACTCAGTCGAGTAGCATTTCACTGTACAGCAAAGGAAACAAGCGAAATCGATGGAAAAATGATGGCATCTCGAACCAGTTCAAGAAAAAGGGAGGAGATATGACAGAATGTATACATTATGTTTGTCCATAGCATATAGGAGGTGAAAATTGGAAAAGCGACCTCCCTGAGCTCGCGCTTCCCAGAAGAAAATCAACGAACGTAGAAAACTCTGTTTAAGGAACATAGATTATTCGAGTTGTTTGTATCGCTCCCTTGTGATTGCGCGTATTCGAGCACTGGGCGAGTGGTGTGAGATTGAGTCTGAAGAAGAATTGGCACCAGAAGAACGTCTGTCGTCCCGAGAACCAAAACCGGCTTGAGCGTTTACACGCTTAGAGACAGAGACCTGAAATAGGCCATAAATAAACGAACCGACATAAAGTATGGAAAAGTATCGAGGATAATTTGCAAAAAGGATAGCAATATACGAGAGAAAAAGAAAGAGGAGAAATGGCAAATAGTGCGCAAAACAGTTCGAAGAACCATAGTCTATAAATGATACAGAGTGTTATCCAGGTCCAAATGAGTAGTGCCGGGCTATAAATGACAGAAGTTAGCAAATTCCTAAGACACACATGAAAATGGGAAAGGGAAAGCATAGGATGAAAAGCGCGAGCCGAAACACATTTATCAGTCCATGTTAAACGCAATCGAGAAACTTGTAACCGGTGTATGAATAATCCAATAAGTAACTGATCATGCCTGCTCAAACGGCTCTCGGCAAATCCGGAGTAAACGTTATCGATTACTCGATAGCATTTGCACAGCAGCTGATTCTGCCACAAAAAGAGCAAAATCGTCCGTTGATCACTTTCACTCACTCATGATCACTTATAACACAACATTGAAGAAAAAGACGAAGATAAGATAACCCTGAAGTAATTCGCTTGTTGTGGGGAAATCAATGTAGCAATACTAGTCATATCTACGCAGTCAAGAGAGTAAAGATGCAGAATAGTAATAAAAACCTCTCAAACTCAGAAGTTGCCATCTAGCGTGGCTCAATGCAGCCCAGAGAATGTAAACAATCGTGTCATATTAGGGTTTAGTATTGTCAAAATCAGCAACACAGAAGGACAAGCAAAACTAGTTGCTGATGGACGGATTATCTTTCAGAATCATAAAGAATGTGGATAAATACAAGTTGACAAATTTAAGATGTTGGATTCCCTAAGAATAAGACTAAATCAAGTGAAAACATCTGTTAGCAAATTTAAGTGGAAGAAAAAGCCCGGGGAAATCAAAACTTACAGGTTCAAGTATGCCAGAGCTATCCTTCCCTAGGCCTTGGCCTGGACTCCAACCCATTTTCGCCAAAAGTTTTGCACCCCGGTTGTCCGTTCCAAGTGGTACAGACACACCCGCAACAACAGGCTGGATTATGTCGACGTTGCGAACCTGATGCTCGATAGGAACAACACGTGGGGGAGTTTCGACAAAACCAGCGGCTTTTAAATTGGCCTCTATAGCACGACGCCGTGCAGCACGATCAATGTAAATGGTAGATTTTTTACGTAGAGGATCCAGAGACAAGTTCTGACGGAAATGGAAGTAGACAAAAGAGAAGTGATAAAGTCCCAAGTATTTACACGCAAGAAAACTTGTGAACATGAAGAGTAATACGGATGATGGGAGTGCCTAACCGATTTGTTTATCTGAAACAGAACGCCAGCCAAGTGGTGGTTTCAGGTTCAGTGCAGACAGGTTTCTGCAGCGGTGTGCAAAATATGTGATCTACACCGATACAAATAGCTAAACTTCGATGAATCGTGCACGGTACGAAAGCTAGCGCAAATGTCATTAGCTACAGATAGAGGTCAGACAAGTGTTTGCGGTCCACGACTTGGTGATTGAGGCAACGGAGTGCAAGGTCTTAACAACAGACCCTTTCACATAAGCCCCTAATTGGTATAAACCTAATGTTACATGGAGCGGCGGATAGCAACAACGACCCAGATGGCTTTGCCTTTAACATAGGACAGAAAGGACCATAGAAAACGGGTGAAACCTTTCGAGGGAATAGTCTGCATGGAAGCATGTCCCCAGGAGACGAATCCACGGGTGGCCGTATTACGTTACCAGAACTTTTAGATTTATCTGCATGTATTATTATTATCATCAAACAATTCATCTATTTGAAAGATGCAACTGAGCAATCAGCCCCGTAAAATAGTTTGGGAACTGCTCTGAAAAAATAGGAACATCAACTAATAAACAACACGTTTGCTGGTATCTGTTTCACTAAAGAAGAAGAGAGCAATTGTCAAGTATCATTCTTGGATGTTAGTAAAAGGACATGCTGCTGGACAACCGTAGATAACAGTTTATCGGAAGCGACACTACAGACCAAATTCTGAATTGTCACAGCAATCATCACCAGTCTACAAGCGCAGAGCGTACAACTCTATTTAAAAGAGCTCAGACACATTGCAACACCCCGCAGCGAGGAAAGCGGAGGAAGATCATCTGTTCGAAATGTTTACAGGAATGGGTATCTAGGAATTCATTCTACGTTGTTTAACATCAATAAAACGACCGAAACATGAACAAACATCAGAAACGGATAAAAGGACAATCATTCTACCCTACATCAACGACGTCTCTGAGATGGCGGCGAGACTACTACTACCTTTCGGAATCAGAGTTGCTCACAAGCCGACAGAAACTATCCGAGACAAGCTCTTCAATGGTAAGGACCGGCTTGGCAAAGAAGAAACAAATGGTGTGATTTACAAAATCTACTGCAAAAGTTGTACCAAATACTATGTGGACCAGACAGGAAGAAAGCTCGGCACTAGGCTACATGAGCATAGCCTAGCCATCCGCCGACATGACAACAACTCCCGATGTCGGTACATATGGACGCCGAGAATCATCAGTTTGATTTGGAGTATGTCAGGATCATAGGCAGGGCAAAAAGTCGAAAAGTACGCGAGTTCATCGAGGCTTGGTACTCGGGGAAGAACTCAATCAACAGACACTTAGATCTAGATACTGCCTATGAAGCACTGAGGGTCAAATCAACACTCCGCCCCAGATCAACAGGACAAAGGAACCTCATTGAAGCGGACTCTAGCCAACAGTACGCAAGAGCTGACTACACGGTCAACTCACGTGGACCAATCGACTCCTGACGTTCGAATCAAGTGATCAACAATCACTTGGATCTGTAAGTGGCCCGCATAAATCTCACTGATGATGTCGTCTAGCCTGACGATGAAACGTTTGCAGCCGAATCAGCCAGCTCGGAGAACACCCGCATACCCTCGAGAAATTTATCCGTCCCATGCGATCCCATTGGACATACTGATCAGACCAATCAGTTGGACTGTGCCTCGCACCATCGAGGAATATATCCATTGGTTATTTACTTATTATTTATAGTTTCGTCCACCTAGAGGTGTGAATGCACATCAGACGTGTCTAGGTACCCATTGATTGCAACTTACCGAAACGAAAACCTATTATGGAAGAAAAGTGTCAAACCAAGGATAGAGTGACACTTTTGAAAATGACCACTGTTTATCATCTCGGGGTTGGAAGAAAAAATGGTGAGGAAAGACCCGGCTAGATATGCATCGGGAGGAAAAGATAGACAAGTGGTCCACTCCGAGGTCAGCTGACTTGGGTAACAGATTGAGTACGTTAAGGAATACTGCCCAAGCAATTGCGCAGCTGGTGTCTATTCAATGACTCAAAACCAACGTTGTGTCTGTCAGAATATAACCGATGAGTAGCCAGTCGGTGAAGAAAGGAAATTCATCAGAAAGTGAGAAACTCAAACAAAATATAGAACTAACTAACGTATGTGCATTGGGACTATGACCTTTGACTGCTAATCTTTTCGGTGAACGCGTAAACACTATGCCATTACTATAAAGCGGCTGGCAAGCACAGCATTTTGACAAACTTTCAGGACAACCAAGTCAAGTACCGTCAGGTTGGTTTCGGTCTCTCCAGCGAACGTAAAGAAAATCAAACTCTAAAAAGTATAAACAAGCATCAAATGGGGGGGGTCGTGAACTGCATTCGATTCAAGTGACTGCGAAATATATTGGACAACTTATCGCCAAAAAGAGGCATTTTCGGTGTCTCCGGCACTAAAAGGAAAATGTTTCCAAAACAGATCTTGTCTCCGTGACAAGAATGGGCGAGGTTTACTTTGTTATAAATTGGGCAAACGTTGCGTCGCACGTGGCAGTCGGATCTCAAACTAGGTATCATAAATACGGCAGCAATGATGCTAAATAATTATAGATTCTGGAGATGCTTCGGTGTTACTACTCCCAACGCTGACATCTTACGACTACCTTTGTCCAGGTTTGGCCTCATGTGAGACAGCCTGAGCCGAGGTGGAATTCAGTGATTGGTGGTTCACGGCTGACGCCTTGATCACCAGATCACTAAGATCATCATCATCATCATCGTCATCATCATCATCACCATCATCATCATCGTCGTCGTCATCATCATTATCATCATTATTATTACACGTTAGCTAGAGGTGGAAAACACCTCAGCTATTGTGCCGCAATACAAGAGACAAGAAAAGAGAAAACAAACAGTGGCACGCCCGCCGAGTCCCCAGTAACGGATGGACATCGTTCCGGAGAGCTAACAGCTGGCTGCCTAACAAGTGAGATCGTGATTGGATGGGGATGCTAACCAGGAGGGGGATGGACAAAGGAACTCACAACACAAACGCCACTGGAGCCGGCTCCAAGCCATATCTGCGAATGTGTCCAACCCAACTTGTTCACCGTCCTTAGGGCCCCAGCCAGGCAGTCGGGATGTACCAACCGACGCCAACTTCGAAGTGAGGGTTTTCATTTCACTCGACCAAGTCATCACTTGGCCTCCCCTCCTCCTCTTCCAACCGCACCCATAACGCGCAAACAATGCACGTCGCGGGAGTCGGTGTGCTGGCATGCGCAACACGTGACCCAGCCATCGGAGCCTGGTGCGTGATATAATAGTGCTGAGCGGTTCACGCGCTCTTTCTGCACCAAATACGCGACGTGGAACACGCTCATTGCTCACGCGGTGTTCCCACCAGACATGAGCTAAGCTGTGAAGGCAGCGATGATCGAATGTGACGAGCCTCTTTATGTCTATCGACCTGATGGGTCAGGTTTCACAGCCATATAGGAGAGCTGAAAGGACGGCTGCGTTGTAAACTCTGCCCATCAGGGCGAGAGTTATGTCGCGTTTGCGCCACAGGTGGCAGAGATTTGCAAAAGCACCTCGAGCTTTTTCTATAGGGTTCGTAACCTCATCTTCGATCCCTCGAACGCTAATATAACTACCCAGGTACTTGAATTCCTGAACGACTTCTAGCTGATCACCACCATGCGTTAGCTCAGGGGTAGGTCGTGGCCAATCTTGGAGAAGTACCTTGCATTTCGATGGCGCAAAGCATAGCCCCAAACGATTGACAGCCAGTGCTAATCCGTCCAGTGCTGCTTGGCATGTTTGGGAACTGTCACAGATTAGGACAATATCGTCCGCATACTCCAAGTCAAGAAGTCGCTCACCAGGAAGTAGCTGCACACCTGGGTCGTGTCCATCGAACGCTATTTCCATGACTTCATCAATAGCGAAGTTGAAGAGGAAAGGTTACAGCGGACAACCTTGTCTCACACCGCTGGTGATACCGAAGGGTGACTCACAGTCTGGGCACT